CCAGGCACCATCTAGTTGTACTGGACTGTGTCTGGAGGAGGCCATAGGAGTTGTGGTCTGTTAGTCCTTTGGACTAATCTTTCCCTTGTGTCTTTAGTTTTCTTCATTTTCCCTTGCTCCTGAAGGGGTGAGACCAGTGGAGTATCTTAGATGGCCGCTCACAGGCTTTTAAGACCCCAGACCCTACTTACCAAAGTAGAATGTAGAATATTTTCTTTATAAACTATGTTATGCCAGTTAAGCTAGATGTTCCCTGAGACCATGGTCCCCACAGCCCTTAGCCCAGTAATTTAGTCCCTAAGGGAGTTTGGATTTTTCTGTGGAGCTTCTATGACCTTACCCTTAAGAAGTTGTGCTGGCTTCCCCAGTACTGTGTACTATCTTATGCTTCACCAAAGTTACCACTGATTTATTGTCTGTTTAGTGTTCCCCCCAACCCCGTAACCATCAAACATTGTTTCTTTTTGTATGTAAACCTTTTCATGAGTTTTTATGGTCGTGGTCTCATACAATATTTGTCCTTTTGTGATTGACTGATTTCACTCAGCATAATGCCCTCCAGAGTCATCCATGTTGTGAGATGTTTCGCAGATTCATCATTGCTCTTTATCATTGCGTAGTATTCCAGTGTGTGCATGTGTATACTATGGTTTGTTTATCCATTCATCTGTTGATGTGCATCTAGGTTGTTTCTATCTTTTTGGTATTGTGAACAATGCTGCAGTGAACAGGGGTGTGCATATGTCTATTTGTGTGACAGCTCTTATTTCTCTAGGATATATTCCTAAGAGTGGGATTACTGGATCATATGGTATTTCTATTTCTAGCTTTCTAAGGAAGCACCATATTGTTTTCCAAAATGGTTGTACCATTTTGCATTCCCACCAGCAGTGCATAAGAGTTCCAATCTCACCGCAGCCTCTCCAACATGTGTTATTTTCTATTTTTTTTATTCATGCCAGTAATGCCGGGATGAGATGGTATCCCATTGTGGTTTTGATTTGCATTTCTCTAATGACTAGTGATCGCGAGTGTTTCCTCATGTGTCAGTTAGCCACTTGAATGTCTTCTTTGGTGAAGTTTCGATTCATTTCCTTTGCCCATTTTTTAATTGGATTATTAGTCTTTTTGTTGTAGAGGTGTTGGATTTTCCTGTAGATTTTAGAGACCTTTGTCAGATTTGTAATAGCCAAAATTTTTTTCCCAATCTGTAGGTTCTCTTTTTACTCTTTTGGTGAAGTCTTTTGATGAGCATAAGTATTTAATTTTTAGAAGATCCCAGTTATCTAGCTTATCTTCTGGAGTT